AAAAAAAAAAAAAAAATAGTCTCAAAAAGTTTTTGTTTGGACATAAGTTTATTTACATCTAAGGCCTTATAAAGGCCTAAAAGTCTCATTCTATGGCACATTTAACAAAATGTATTGATTAAAAATAAAGCTAGAATTGTCCCAGAAAACTCAGGATCCCGAGTCACACTGGGCTCTCTGTACAGCAGTCCTGTAGGGTAGGTCCATCAGAACCCAAAGCTTCAGCTTGCTTCAGGAGCATCCAAGCTCAGTCCATCTGAACAGCATCTAGCTCATCCAAGAAGCGCCGGCACTTCCCCATCAGTACTTTGATGGCTTCACTCACCAACACGTCTGGTGGCAACACTCCTGTTGACTCAACAGAGACTGGGGACCAAAGAGACACTTTAGCCTGGGCAGGGCTTGCCTGTAGGAAGCCCCTGTTATTCATAAACTTTACAATTAGACTGGAAGGAAGCTGCAGCACCAAAGAGCATTGCCCACCCATCTCACCAATTCATACTCACAGATATAATGATCTCGAACCCGGGCAAGCCTCACAGCCTTCTTTAGTTTCTCATTCCGGAAGATTTCTCTGCTGAAGGTATCCAGCCGGGGATTGGCAACTCTGGCTACCTTTTTACCTAATGAGAACAAACCATGTTTTTTGATTCTTTTTTCTAATTTGCCACTTGGTAGCAGCAAACCATGTTACACTTTTAGGAGCCCACAGTTCTTATTTGTCACCTTCAAAGATAATACGCTTTGTGTCCTTACCTGAACAGCATCCCAAATACTATACCTTGGACTTCCTGCACCTCAATAACACCAGGTGAGAAGCACCTGCTCAACTCCTCAGCTGCCTCCCCTTCCACAGGCTCAAGCAGGGTGATGTCTGGCAGGAGCCTGTAACTGGCTGTTGCCACTGGTGAAAACTTGGCATGGTCTTTGCCTGGAGGGGAAGAAGGAAAATCTGCCTATAGGAAACCCTTCTTCATTCTTCCTAAGCTACTTACAGCAAAAAACATAATCCTGTTGGCTTTCTATCTACCGGGAATATCTCGGCTGAGTTCCTTAGTCCGTTGGCCCCACTGCCCTTCCCAGGAAGGCCCACAGGGTTCTCACCAATGCCCTTGACACAGTGCATTAGCAGGTCAATTTCCTGGCCAGGCCGTAGCTGAGCGATGAGGATATCATCATGCACTGGTCGGATAGTGCCCTCTGGGAAGAGATCAGCCTGGTTCCCCAGGGGGATCCATGTCATATGCCTAGTATACACTGCAGGAAAAACGTGTCAGAACGTCTCAGTCCTTAAAACTAGCAGCCACCCAGAGGTGGCTCTTCCTCGCTCTACCACTACTTACCTTTGTGGTTCGTGTACAGTTCGTTGGGGTCAGAGGAATCTTTAGCAGCATGAGGGTTCCGAGTACATCTGACTTGAAGACGAAACTGTAGAGTGTCTATCTCTGTGCCTTCTTCGTCTCCTGCACCAACGGAGGGAGCTCTTAAGAACTAGTAAATATCTGAGTGCCAGCACTATGCTGAATGCTTTACATGTTTCCCATTTAATTATCTTGGCAAGCTTGGGAAGACAGGGCAAGTGTTCTCACAGATGAAAAACACTGATGTACTTACCCAATGTCATAGTCAACCAGGATTTAAACCCAGACAGTCCACTTCTCCCAAAATTTCATTTTCTCACCTTGGTTCCGATACTCAAAAAGACGGGGATCAGCAAGAATGGGAATGAGCCCCAGACGGTGAGCAAGGATCTCATCCTGAACAATGGATGTGTTGTTGTACACCAGGACCTTCTCCACAGCCATAGTTGGCACCTGCCCAAGGAAAAAGAATCACTTATCGGCAAAAACCCAATAGACCCCTTACCTATCCCCACAAACTCCAACCTCCAGAGGTAGGTAGCTAGCTCTCTTCCTAGAATGTAATGAGAAATTTACAAAGAAGGAGAAGATAAAATCCTTAGCCAGGAAAACTCCAGGAAAAATAAGAAGGGAAGGACAGCCTGACAAGTAACACTCCAAGTGTCAGTGCAGTTCCCAAAGCAAATCCAACCTTGTCACCATGCCTGCCAATACCTCAGCTAATAGAATTCGTCGAAAAGCATTGGCAATGGCTGCATCAATTCCCACCATGTCAAACTCCAGTGAGTTTTCATCCATGTGTACCACATCCACACGGAAATTCTAGAGGGACAGGAAAAACATTAAGTGAAGCTGCTCTCTTTGTAATAGCTCTTTATACCTCCCCCTCAGATGATTCCAAGTATTATCCACTCATCCAAAAACCACCCTTTGCCCAGATGTCCCTTATTAAATGTTCTTTCTCGCCCAGTGCTTGCTTTAGTTTCATGAAAAGTCTCCATTTTTGTCTTCCATTCATTAAAACCCTATCTAATATGGCTCCCAACCAAACCATCCACAGAAGATATTCTACTAAAGAAAAGAAACCCACCACATGGCTTAGTCATGCTGACACTAGACAGTCCTCTTACTAGACTTCTGTTACGCCTGGCATTGATTAAAAAATCCCCTCCTGGATGGGCGCAATGGCTCATGCCTGTAATCCCAGCACTTTGGAAGGCCAAGGCGGGTGGATCACAAGGTCAGGAGTTCGAGACTGGCATGGTGAAACCTCATCTTTACTAGAAATACAAAAAACTAGCCGGCCATGGTGGTGTGCACCTGTAATCCCAGCTACTCAGGAGGCTGAGGCAGGAGAGCTGCCTGAACCCAGGAGGCAGAGGTTGCAGTGAGCCGAGATCCTGCCACTGCACTCCAGCCTGGGCGACAGAGACTCCATCTCCAAAAAAAAAAAAAAAAATCCCCTCCTTTTTTGAACTATTCTCCTGGTTTGATTCTGAGCTCCATTCTTCCTTCTCTGATGATCAACAACTTCCGCCCATCTCTAAAATCTACCAGGTTCTTGTCTCTCTCCCAGGTGACCTTAACCACACTAACGGTTTTAGCAACTATTTGTGCTGACAACTCCCAAAATTTTATTTCCCTTCTGATCTCATTTCAAACATGCAGTCTTCTAGCCTGCTAGATTTCTCCATATGCAGGAAAGAATGCATCATCATTCCTGTTCCCCAGACCCAATGCATCAAAGCAGTTCCCAAGCCAAAACGTCCTTTTATGCTATCCCAACAGCCTTTACCAAAGCAATCACAAATTTACCTATTCTTCCTTTGCTCTATTTCTACCATCAGTCTTAGTTTAACCTCAGCTTCACTTACAACAGATCTGCCTGCTCCATATGATCCTCTTCAAACTCATTCCCTCCCAGCTATCAAGGTTGCAAATCTAATCATGTCTGCTTAACTATTCAAGCTCCCTATCATCAACAGTGCCCAAGACACACTTCAATCTTGCCTACCACTAGTGTCAGAACTGCTTGGACATTCCCGGAGCACACTTCACACCATAATTTTTTTGATGAAAAAGCATTAACCTTTTTCATTGTTCATACTTTATTCCTTGTATCAGCAGGTTAAAAAAAGTAAAATTTTCCCAAGCACAGATTTATAGATCATGCTTATAAGCTGCACACAAAGTTCAGTTGCATAAACAGTAACATTCAGTGATCTATTTAAATGCAATTTTAATCCTTATTTTAAGCTAAGTGAAACAGTAATAGACTAAATAGACTAAATACACACAAAACCTGTATATCCTCAACTTCACTGACTTGAAACTCAAAGCCTTCCTAATTTAACTCCTGTTCTTTACTTACCGTTCGAAGCTCAATTCAGATGTTCCCTCCTCAAGAAATGTTAAGTACCTCTGGGTCCCTCTTCCTGGTCTCAGCATAATGCTCCCCACACCAATCCTGCCATCTTCATAGCTATCAACCACCTTTACCATATTACACTAGATTCACTTGTTTATACCACCATTCCTCAACAAGACTGAACATCTTGTTTGCAGAACTGGGTAGAAACCGTGTCTAACTTGGCCTGTAAACGGAGCGTCTACCACAATGCTCAACAAAGTTACAAACTGAGCGACCCCCAAGAGCAGCTTCTGAGACAGACACAGGCTGCTCAGATCACAGGGTCTGGCCCTCATAACCCTCCCCGGACAACTCCGGCCCCACTCACCTTCTCGAAGCGTTCCTGGTCCCAGGCATCATCATAACCGGAATAGTTACCGGGAAAGTCAGTGGTATGGACCTAGAGCAAAGGGATGAGTTTGTCCACGAAGGGAGAGTGAGCCTATGGCTTCCCCCACGCCAATCCTAAGACCCATCCCTGTTCCGCTGTCATTCTTCCCGCCTGAGCTCAATGCCACAAGTCTTACATTGCGAACTCCAAACTCCCCTAGAACCACGCGGCTCCGCATTTCTTCCACTGCTTGAGCAGCCGCCATGTTCAATCTCCCCAGAAGACTAGAGGCTCTAGCTGGCGCGTGCGTTCTAGCAGCACAGCTCCATCTCCGTGGCAACGCACCGCCTCCTGGAATCTTAAATATCGCGATACTGTCCTCCGCCTCCATCCACGTCCCCAACTTCCGGAAGTTGATTTTGTCCAAACATCCGGGTTTCTCCTTTTTGTGTTCCGGCTGATCCCACCTCTCCTCGACACGGGACCTCTCCTTTCCTGGAACTCCCATCTCGCACACTCCTCCGAGCGCGGGGCTAGCGTGGGCTTCAGGACGGGAGCCCTCAAGGGACATGGCAACTACAGCGGCGCCGGCCGGCGGCGCCCGAAACGGAGCTGGCCCGGAATGGGGAGGGTTCGAAGAAAACATCCAGGTAATGGCCCCAAGGCACCAGATGTCAGCAACCCGAGGGCCGGCGATGTCCAGAAGTGTCCTGGGGATTCTCCCTCGGGGCCTGGAAGTTCGCTCCATTTGCAAAACTGCCTTCTTTGGGCCTTGCACACAAACTGAAAGGGCCAGACTAGTCTACTACTCTAGCCTGAGGATCTCGGGTCTCTGGGCCCGCCCGAGGCGTTAGGAAGAACGTATTCTTGGAACAAGTTAGGAGGTTAGTCGGGGTCAGGCATAGAGTGGGGTTGGGTGGGATTCACTGGCACTCACTGAAAACATACTGTGGTCATAGTTTTGTTTGAGGCTTTGGAAAGAAATGGATACTTTTTCAACCTTTTAGTCTTTGATAGATAAGGTAGGAGAGAGACTTGAATGGAAGACTAGTAGGTTTCCCAGGCTAGAAAAGATAGTCAAGGCTATAAATCAAGCGTTCTGAGAGCAAATGAGGGGGAATGGAGTGGCATGATCTGTAGTGATTCCAAGCCGTATCCTCAGCAGTGGAAGAACAAAGCCCTAAGCCCTGGGATGAGCAGAGGACTTAATGGATGGAACAGAAAAGTCCTGCACTCTAGGAGCCATTGTCTTAACAGGGCGGAGGCTCAGCTGTGATTGACATGGAGAACATGGATGATACCTCAGGCTCTAGCTTCGAGGATATGGGTGAACTGCATCAGCGCCTGCGCGAGGAAGAAGTAGACGCTGATGCGGCTGCTGCTGAAGAAGAGGATGGAGAGTTCCTGGGCATGAAGGGCTTTAAGGGACAGCTGAGCCGGCAGGTGGCTGATCAGGTAAGCAAGATGGGATCCCTGCAGGTGGAAAAGTAAACCTAGGTATGTCCCATGTTCTGGAGTTGGTATTGGTGATGTTTGCCCCAGGTTGTCCTGGTAGAAATCAAATGGAAAATAGGCAACAGGGTCTAATGCCAAGAGTTCCACAATACCTGTGCCCATCTTCCTTCAGATGTGGCAGGCTGGGAAGAGACAAGCCTCCAGGGCCTTCAGCTTGTATGCCAACATCGACATCCTGAGACCCTACTTTGATGTGGAGCCTGCCCAGGTGCGAAGCAGGTGAGGAGCCTTCTCTTGAAGAAGCTTCCCTCTTAACACCTACTCCTTCATGCACTCTACAATCAGATTTCAAGCCCTGTGCTCTAGTGGGCTCCCCCTCTTTGTGACCTCATCACCTCTCATCACTGCACCTGTCACTGAACACAAATAATCATAACACACCGCCTTCCTCCTCATTTCCATCTAGCCGACTACTCATCTTCCCTCAAAACCTACCTCAGATGTCACTTCCCCTGTTCCACATTCCTCAATCCCATCCCCAGTTTGTTCTCTCCTGGTGTTCCTATAGAACTCTGCACTTGCCTCCAACAGACAGCACTTCAGCACTGCTATCCTTTCTTATTCCTGGAATTTTCCCCCCAGAGCAGGCTCTATCTTGTTTATCTTTTTATTCCCAGCACCAGAACAGTCTCTGAACCAGAATATCAGGGCATAGTTTTTGAGTGACTTTTCAAGAACTAGATTTAATCCTGGCTTGTTTTATTTGTTGTTGTTCATCCTTTAATCAGTGCTAAGCAAACACCCAGGACCACTCAGCAAGTATTTATTAAGCATTTGCTCTGTTGCAGACCCTATGCTAATTGTATCTGGTTCAGTGGTGAAGAGGGATGGGAGCCTTGCTCTTGAGTGCAATCACAGTACAGTCCTCATGCTATGATGGGGCACACGGGAGCGATATGTGAGCCATAGCAGGTTGGTGGGTGGGACAGGACAGGTTTCCCAAAGGAAGTAAAATCTAGGTAAAATCCAAGGTATGATTAAGAGCTAGCCACTTGGTGGGGTTGTGGGGGGAACGGTGACTGAATTTTCTTACCACTTCACATATGTTTTTCAAGAAAATGCTCGACAGTGCCTGGAGGCACTCTTACTGTTCCCTCAGTAACACCTTTCATTCTAAACCTTCCATCTAGCTGACTAGACCTTTCCCAGGGCTTCCCCATTACAGCCTTGAATTCTGGGTACTCTCTGCTGAGGTCTGCCTGTCTTTTCAAGGGGAGACGGGGAGACAGATACATGGTCAGGCCCTCTCTGAAGGCCTAGCAGGGCTGAGTTCTCCACATAGCTGCTGTTTCAGTCAGCTAAGTTTCAGAGGGTTAACCTTCCTGGAAGTAATTTTAGGAGCAAGGAAATGGTTCCCTCATTCCCTGTATATCTTTACTACCCTGTTCTCCCCTGTCATCCAACATGTCCTCTAGGCCAGGCCCCAATCCCTGGAGTTAGAGATGAGTAACATTCAGGCCTCGCCCTCCAGAACCTCATGGCCTAGTGCTGCCTCTGCTTTCATCTCTCCTCTCCTCTCTCAGGCTCCTGGAGTCCATGATCCCTATCAAGATGGTCAACTTCCCCCAGGTGAATAGAGGGTGGCATGTCTGGAGAGCCAGGGGAGGCACCAGGGCAGAGGGTGGGACCACCAGGCAGAGCCTGGGAAGGTATAAACACACAAGCCATTGTACCCTCCAGCCTGAATGAGTTGGTATATTGACAGAAAATTGCAGGTGAACTCTATGGACCTCTCATGCTGGTCTTCACACTGGTTGCCATCCTACTCCACGGGATGAAGACATCTGACACTATTATCGTAAGCAGGACAGAGGACTTTGGGTGGGGGGGTGGCTGAAGTAGGTTGAAAGCTGCCTGAGGACACAATGGTGACATGAGATAGGAACAGCCCCTGTGGAAGACCCTAGGTGAGGCTGAGCTCAGAAGCCTCCTAGGACTAAGTAGAGCCTTCACCCCACAGCGGGAGGGCACCCTGATGGGCACAGCCATTGGCACCTGCTTCGGCTACTGGCTGGGCGTCTCATCCTTCATTTACTTCCTCGCCTACCTGTGCAACGCCCAGATCACCATGCTGCAGATGCTGGCACTGCTGGTAAGGAGCCTGGCATGGTGGTAGGCAAGGGTGATGTTAAAAAGAGTAGCCAGGCCTTGGTCTGCATCTGTCCTGGGGCCCCAGAGCCTGGAATGGGTGGAGTGGGCCAATGGACCATCTGTTTCCCAGGCTCCCTATGAGGGGTCAGAACCAGTCCAACCTGAGTGATTTTCCTTTCCACTGTCCTCCTTCCCAGGGCTATGGCCTCTTTGGGCACTGCATTGTCCTGTTCATCACCTATAACATCCACCTCCATGCCCTCTTCTACCTCTTCTGGCTGTTGGTGGGTGGGCTGTCCACAATGCGCATGGTAAGCTGGGCAAGAGGCTTCCAGGGGTGGGCTGTCCTCCCAGGGAGCTGGGGAAGACAGCCTGGAGCGGTCCATCTCACAAAGAGCCCTAAATAGGAGGGAGGGGCTCAAAGAAGGTTCTGCCCTGGGTGGGGTTGTCTTGTACCCACTTCTCACTTTGGAGCCAGGCCCTTTGAGCTATATTTTCGTGTCCCTAGGTAGCAGTGTTGGTGTCTCGGACCGTGGGCCCCACACAGCGGCTGCTCCTCTGTGGCACCCTGGCCGCTCTACACATGCTCTTCCTGCTCTATCTGCATTTTGCCTACCACAAAGTGGTAGAGGGTAAGTGGCAGGAAGGCCTGGGTGGGGGAGAATGGGAAAGCAGCTGTCTAGGGCAAAAGGCAGGATATGATGTCCAGTGGCCTGGCCCCATCTGACCCTCACTCACCTTCCATCTTCCTTTCAGGGATCCTGGACACACTGGAGGGCCCCAACATCCCACCCATTCAGAGGGTCCCCAGAGACATCCCTGCCATGATCCCTGCTGCTCGGCTTCCCACCACCATGCTCAATGCCACAGCCAAGGCTATTGCTGTGACCCTGCAGTCACACTGACCCCACCTGAAATTCTTGGCCAGTCCTCTCTACCACAGCTGCAGAGAGGAGGAAGACTAAAGGACAGTCCTGATGTCTCTCAGATGGGGTCTGCAGCTGCCACTGAGCTGTAGCTGCTTAAGTACCTCCTTGATGCCTGTTGGCACTTCTGAAGGGCACAAGGTGAGGAACTCCTGGCCAGGACTGCAAGGCTCTGCAGCCGGTGCAGAAAGTGGGTCAGCTCCTCTGAGACCCCCTCACCACCTACCCCTTCCTTCCTCTTTATCTCTCCCACATTGTCTTGCTAAATATAGACTTGGTAATTAAAATGCTGATTGAAGTCTGGAACTGCAGCGCTGATCCAGTGGTCCTCCCTGTTACCCTACTTCCTCTATGCTTTCCTGCTCTGTCAGCCATGGTAATGTTATATGTTCCCTTCATATCCTCAACCAGCAGGATAAAGGTGGGACAGGCCAGACTACAGAGAAGGCAGTGATTGAATATGGAACCTGCCCCTGAGGGCAGGGGACACCTGACCCATGAAGGGGCAGGGAGGCATCAAGCACAAAAACCATAAGCCTGATTGAAAGTGTACCCAGCTTGAGTCTGCATTCGGCTGCACTCTTGGGAAACCAATGAAGCAGTGACAATTGGACAAAACATCCCGACTTAAACCCTGTGTCAAAACAAGGAGAATCTTTCGCAGCTGGGCACTGTGGGCATAATTTTTCTGTGGAGCTCATAATTGAAGCCAAACTTGGCTTTGCCCTGGTGGTAATGGAACCAGCTCCTTTCGGTTTTTCTGTCTTTCCTCTTAAAACCAACCATCACTCCTAACAGCGCCACCCCACCACCACCACGTCTTTTATCTGCTCTGCTTAGTAAGTTAATTCAGGTGGCTAAGAGGGAATAGGGCCTTTGACCTCCCTTCACTACATTGAATATTACGTTTTATGGAAAAGAATCCTCTCCTAGTAAATCTGGGTCAGCAGCATCTAACGCTCCTAACAAAGGGACTAACAGAAAGAGGTGCCGCCCTTTATCTGTCCTGTATTAACACAAACTAGGCCCCCACCACCCTGGCCAGTGGACAAAGTTGTCACAGCGCTTCCTGTACCGTGCCGTGTGGCCCAGCCGCCTTCACGTCCTCACCGCTGCTCCAGGGCCCTGGCCCTGGCCCCTCCTTTGTATTGGCTACCCCAGTCTCGCGGCATGGACACACCCTCAGACGTCAACAGTGCTCTGCGCACCTGGAGAAGGTGTGGCACCAGGACCTTGCATCTATCAGGCTCCCCTGCCCTAGGGACCCTCTGGGGTTCTCTTGTCCCCAGCAACTCCGGCTGGCTCTGCCCAGCCGTGGCCCCTGGGGCCGTCCTGGTGAGGCCGCCATTTTGGCGAGGAGCAAGCGGGGAAGTCCCCGTGGGCCGGGATCCCCACTCACGCTGCGCCTCGCGTCACGGGGGCGAGGTGGGGCGAGGTGCGTATGAAAGTGCCTTGGGGCCTTCCAAATACGAAGGGAACAGGGTCCTGGATCGTGGCGAGGGTTTGGACCTTAGGAACCGGGAAGGACTGGAGAATGGGCAGAAAAAGTGGTAACTGTCCAACACCATCTCCACGTGGCGTGCCTTCATTCCGCTCCCCGTCAGCCCTCCCCACCCTGCCCGTCCCAGGCCTCAGCCCTGCCGCCTTCCTTCTGCCAGCTGGCTGACCCCACTACCAAGGGGAGAGCGGCCTATCGCTCCCAGCTCCCTGCCCCGAACCGCCCCGTGGGCGCGTGGGCCGGCGTGGCCGTGGCCGTGGCCGGGCAGGGGGCGGGGCGAGCGGCGGTGACGCGGCCGTTGCCATGGAAACCCGCCGCCCGCTCGCGCGCTGGAGCCGGAGCCTTAGCTGCCGCCCGCCGCCCGCCTGGGGCTCTCTCTGCCAGCCGTGCGGCCAGGCCCGCGGGGTGGTCGGGGGAGCCGGGCGGCAGACAGGGAGGGAGAGGGTACGGCCTCCCAGCCGGGACCGGTAAGCCGAAGGCCCTGAGCCGCTGCCGCCAGGACCGCGAGCGACAAGGACGAGCGCGGAGCAACGTCTGCCGGCCCCTGAAACGCGCGCCCGGCCCAACGCCCAGACACTGACCGTTCGGGCCGCCCCCGCCCCAGCACGGCCCCACCTCAGCCCGACCAGCGCCCTGGACGCCTCCGCACCTCGGGTCGGCTCCGGCTCCGTCCCGATCGCTCTTCGCCAGCGCCGCAGCCTCCGCCTCTGCCACAGCCTCCGCCTCCGCCCCGAGTCCCGCTCCGCCCGCGACCCCGGCCGGGACCCTGACCCCGGCCCTATCCCCGGCCCTGCCCGCGACCCCGCCAACCTCCGCCCAGGCGCCGGCCCCAGCGGCCCAGCCGAGGGCACGATGCTGCCCAGCTCCATTCAGATTTCGGGGGAGCCGCTGTCCGGAGCCGAGGTGCGGGACATCTGCCGCGGCCTGCGCGACAACGCCGTGCGCCTGCTCTCACTGCGCGGCTGCCGCCTCTGCGACCGCGACTTCGGCCGCATCTGCCGGGCCCTGGCCGGGGCCACGTCCTTGGCGCAGCTCAACCTTAACCTGGGCGTCGTGTCTAGCCCCAGTCGCATCAAGCAACTGGCCGAGGCTCTGCGGACCAACCGCTCCATCCAGTCCCTCTTGTGAGTGCGCCCCCTCGCAAGGGGGTCCCGGGCACTGCACCCCTCCATGCACTCCCCTGCCACCTCCTGTTTCTCCACACTCCTTCCAGTACCATCCTACCTTCACATACCTTATGCACACACTCCGTGCCTCGGCGCATGGCTTCACAACACCCTCCAAGCAGACGCTTGGAATTTGCACGCGCGACCCCACCCGAGGTGGGATTCCCACCCCTTCCTGACATGAGGTAGGGGCCGTACCTCCCCACCTAATTACCTGCATTTACTTCTCTGGGGCAGCTCTTAGGTTCCCAAGAGGGAATCCGCCCATGGGGATGAGAGCCCTGCCCACTGCAGAATTCCAGTCCACCACCCACCCACCCCTTCTCTGCCTCTCCCTGTGCAATGTCCTGGATCCCAGTCCCTGCCCCAGAAAACCAAACCGAATTCTCCTTCTACTTGTATTTCCTGAGAATCTAGAACTTTCCTTCTCCTTTTCCGGGCCTCTCAAGTGCTGTGACTGAGTGCCCTCCCCATCCCTAGGGCTGACAGAAGTGAAAGTGCCCTTCCCCGTGTAGGTTGGGCTGAAGCCTGCAGTAATCCTGCTCTCTCACTCCCCTCCAGCCTGCATGGGAGCCCCCTGACAGATGCGGGGCTGGCCTTGCTGAACCCAGCCCTGGCCCTCCACCCTGCCCTCGTGGCTCTGGACCTGGGGGACTGCATGCTGGGTGATGAAGCCATCAACCTCATCTGTGGCCTCCTGCCCCCAGATGGGGCCAAATCTGGTGAGCAGGGCCCTGCTCAGGGCTTGGGCTAGTGTGGCAGTGATGAACATGGAAATGCAGAGAGAAGGGGGTGTGGCCCAGAGCCGAGAGCTCTGATGATGTGGGTGAGAATGTCTTTCTAATCCTCTCAGGAAGGGGCAGGACACGGGGTGGCATGGAAACTCAGGAATCCAGGCAGGCTGGGGCAGGCAGGGGAGGCATGGGTCTCCTTAATGCTCTGGAACGCTATGGGAGGTGAGGCAGTGCCCAGCCACTAAGACACAGGGACACAGGGACGGTAGGGAAGGGCTTGAGGAGGGCTTAACCCTCCCTATTTTGGTTTCTTGCTATGATGCTGCCCAGGCTTGAAGGAGCTAACGCTGAGTGCCAATCCTGGCATCACCCCTAAGGGCTGGAGCCGCCTCGCCATTGCCGTGGCCCACAGCTCCCAGGTCCGCGTCCTCAATCTGGATTACAACCCCCTGGGTGAGGCTCAAGAACACCCCCTTGGGTTCTCACTGCCTCATGCCCCATCAGTTGGTATGGCAACCCCTACACTGGGAGAGGGAAGAGAAAGGAGAGCCCCCAGGAATCAAGGAGGTAGCTTTGTGGAGGACCAGGTGACCAACAAGTAGATCGAAGCATCAGTCACCACCCAGCCCTAACTTGCTTCATGCCTTTCACTCACCAATCACAATGATCCCTTCCTGACCACCACCAGTTGTCCATGTTTCCTGGCCAGGGGTTAGTATCTAAAGTTGTTAAGGCAATGGGGAAGCTATCTGTAAGGATTAGCAGGCATGTGCGTAAATGCATATGAATGTGTGCATGTGTGTTGTCTCCCCAGGTGACCATGTGGCAGGAATGCTGGCTGTAGCTGTGGCCTCCAGCCGTACCCTAGAGGTCCTAGACTTGGAGGGCACGGGGCTCACCAACCAGTCAGCCCAGGTGGGAAGTCATCATGTTTGGGAACGGCCAGGGGATGGGGTGGAGGTTAGCCTACATTGTCTGCTGACATACCTAAGGGGTGGCAGGTTGGGGTCCGAGGACCTGCCTTAACTGCGTTCATCCTTTTCCATATTCTTCCCCACCTCAGACCCTGCTGGACATGGTAGAAAATTACCCCACAGCTTTACGGAGCCTGGTGTTGGCTGAGAACAGCATTAGCCCAGAGCTGCAACAACAGATCTGTGACCTCCTCTCTGAGGGAGAGGAGGAGGAGGAAGTGGCAGGAGGGGCTGGCGACACCCAGGAATGGGAGAGAGGGCGGGAGCCTGCTGCCCACCAGAGGGGCAGCAGCTCCTGGATGTGCCCCAGCGGTAAGAACCCAGAGGGGTGATCAGAGCCAGGTCTGGAAGAGGCTCGGGACAAGGGAGAGTGGGTGTGGCAAACTTCGTCTCTCACTTATTTGTGGTCCCCAGTGGAGGAAGGAATGGCGGTCTGAATACCCCTCTGCCCTTCTACAGATCCCAGCTCTAAGATGGTGCTAATGACGTCAGGACTAGGGGACAGTCTGTTGGCTGAGACCGAGATGTGACTCTCCACTGGGCTTCGGCACGCCATTTCGCTTGTCTATGTCCTGAGCACCTTGCCCTAGATATCGGGCCCTGGGGCTTGGGAGGAAACTGGGGTCAGGGGCTTTATGGGGCTCTGGCAGTTCCTGGCAGTGTGGTGGGAAGGAAGCTCTGGAAGCTGTGACTGAGCAACAACCTTGGGGGGGGGCACTTAAACCCAGGGCAATACCTTTGAATTTGGCAGCTCTGACTGCAACCCGCTGGCTCGGAAAAGATTTTATGAACTCCACAACCTGGCGTGTGGCTGTAGTCACTGGGGGCCGGCAGTAGGGGAGGAGCTGGAACTACCACTAAGCACCACTAGGGAGCAGTAGCATCCCACAGCCCAAGTTCCAGGCTGCATGCACGGGTCCAGACTCAAAACAGGCCAGGCCCGAAGCCTAAGACCCTGGCCTCTGGGGCAACACATTACACAAGCACCATAAAGATCTGGTTCCTGCCTCCGAGGGATGACTCAGAGACCCTACTAAGGTTACTTAAGGTGCCCCCTCGCCCTGATGCTCTGTGCCGAGGGAAACCCTAGGCAGAGTGGGGCGAGGGGGAGTCAGTAGCAGAGTAGGATGAGAAAAGAACTGGGAATACTCTAGCCCTCTTTGCTGTGACAGTAGTGGCCATCTTCTCAAAAAAAAAAAAAAAAAAAGAACTGGGAATACTCACAAATAGGGAGATGGGTGGGAGAGGGAAGGTCATTAAGACAAGTTAGGCCATACCAGTAAAATAGTTTTATTTGATTTTAAAATAGTCATCAATGTGAAAATTTCCCAAAGCTGGGAGTAACAGTCTAGAGCCAAGGTTGGGGAGGGGGGGCAGGCCTCACCCAGAGCCCAGCTTGAGGCCCCTGAACCCCACCCTCCCAGAGGGAGGGAGGAAACAGCTGAGGGGAGCCCTGAGTCAGTCCTCTCCCTCATCCCCCATCCCCGAGGCCAGCTGTGCCAGGCCCCCTGAGGGCAACAGCTCATGCGGAGGATTGGGGGAAAGGAAACAGAAATGAGGTTAGTAACTCCAGCAACATCCCTCGCAAAAATAATAATAATAATAACAAAGCTTGTGACTATGACAGGAGGTTGGAAGATGAATACTGATAAACGCCTCAGCTCCCCACAACAGACCAGTCTGGGCTGGGTTGGGCTGATTGGAGGAAAGGTGTTGAGACCGAACTGCGCATTACCTCTGGAGAATAAATATTCTACGAAAAGGGGAAAACCATGAGGCCAGCTGCTGTGGTTAGTAAACGCAGCTGACAGGCCTGGTGTGGCCCACCACCCAACCCCACCCACACAGGAAGCAGCTGTGCAGGTCTGGATAGGGACAAGGTCAAGGGCTTGGACTGGGGACCCTGAGCTGAAAAGGTGTGGGGCCTCCTTGCAGTCCCAGTGCAGCAATGGCAGGAAGGCTGGCAGGGGCCTAGTTGAGCAGGTTGCCCTGCTCCTGGGCCTGGGTCAGGCTGTCCTTGCGGTGCAGGTGGTGGACCCCCATCCTCTTGGGGCTGCGCTGGGGGCGGCTGGAGCTGGGGAGTGGCCAGGCCCTGCCTTCGGTGTGGGAAGTGCCAGGCCCCTCCTCTGTGCCACTGTTAATGGGCAGCAGACTCTGGCGCTCTTCCTCAAGGCTGATGGGCAGGTTCAGCTCTTCTTCCTCCTCCCTTGGAAAGCCAGAGTCAGGTTCTGTGGGTAGCAAAAGCTCCTTCTCTTCAGGTTGGGGAGAAGGTGCCTGGACCATGTCATCTCTGTCAGCAGGGCTATGGGCAAAATGGCGCTGCAACTCAGGGAGGGCATCACGTCCAAAGGCTGTGCGCTGGGCCACAGCAGCAGGTGGCGGAGTACGGTCCACAAATGCCCGCTGCCAGCTGGCCAGCAGGTCCTCTTCAGAGCTGGCTGAGCTGGCTGGGGCACTGAGTGCTGGGGGCGCTGGGCTGGGCTGGTGGTGGGGTGAGGCCTGGGCTGAGGCAGGGGTGCTGGGCACTGGGCTAGGGCGGCCCCGCTCACTCCCCTCCTCCACCAGGCTCAGCGAAATGGCCTGGCGGGTAGCGTAAGTGCAGTTGGGCAGGGGGCTATTGCGGGGGATCCGAACCTTATCCTCAGAGAACTCTATTACCCTGCGGCCAGGATACAGTGGGTGTGGTGGAGACGGGGTTGGGTAGGGGCTCAGCTTCTCAAAGGCTGGTAGAGGCAGCTCTTCCTCCGGGGAGCCCCCAGCATTACTCAGAGAGTGGCACTCTCCATTGGGTTGGGGGGTGGGGCTGCCAGGAGCTGGAGGACTGGCTGGGTCACCTGGGACACCCTCACTCATGTCCACATGCACAAAGACATCCTCAGCCAAGGGGCGCCCAGCGCTACCTGACTGGGCTGAATTCAGCAGCAGAGACTCTGGCTTCTCTAACACTCGGGCAATGACCGAGGTAGGCACCACAGCCCCTGGGGCTAAGCTGGGGGCAGGACCTGGGCTGGCGGCCTCCTGACCACTATGGAGGTGTTTCCGAACCATGTCCTGTAGCTCACAGGGCAGCTGAGGTAAAAGAGCAGGAAAGAGAGACATCAGTGATCACAGCCAAAGACAACTTGACTCATGGCGAAAGTAATGGCTCCCACGTTTAAGTACCTGTGTGCTCAGCACTCTGTTACCTCCTGTTCTTAGAGCATGCCAGTGTGTATGCCCTCACTTCACAGACACACAGGCCCAGCAAGGGGAAGATAACTTGAAGCTTTTGATTAATGGCCAGGATTTAAACCCAGATCTGCTGCCGATGCCTGCATGTTCCCAAACTTCCATCTCCCAGCTTCTGTCCAAACCATACTTAAGTTTGGAGAATCTGTGTAGACCAGTGGCCTTAGAAACACCTCTGCTTCTGCAGGCCAATCAACCTTGGGCCTGAAGATCTGGGGTCATTTACACCTTGAGGTAACACTATCAGATGGGCCAAATCCTCTCTAAGTACTTTTTGAGCAGATAGCTCTGACCACCCTCTCCTTCCTGCCTGGGATCCTCTGTCTCTGTCTCTGTTACAGAAAGCAACAGGGCAGGCCCCCTAGAACTAGTGATGGGCCCTTGATGGTACACAGGACACCAACCAGTGGCAGAGTTGACTGGCTTGAGAGGTGACATGGAGGCAAGAGGAGGGCAAAGTGGAAAGGGGAGTTAAAAACAGGAGGACAAGGCCGAGGCGGGTGGATCACGAGGTCAAGAGATTGAGACCATCCTGGTCAACATGGTGAAACCCCGTCTCTACTAAAACTACAAAAAATTAGCTGGGCATGGTAGTGCGTGCCTGTAATCCCAGCTACTCAGGAGGCTGAGGCAGGAGAATTGCCTAAGCCCAGGAGGCGGAGGTTGCGGTGAGCCGAGATCGCGCCATTGCACTCCAGCCTGGGTAACAAGAGCGAAACTCCGTCTCCAAAAAAAAAAAAAAACAGGAGGACAGAGGTGCAGAAACTGTGGTTAGAGGAGTCCTACAGTGGCCGGAATGGTCTACGTGGGCAGGGAGTAGGTGTGTTCTACTCACATCGGCGAACTTGTGGTTTCGGAAATGGGACTTGTTGCACTTGAGAAGCTGCACAGCCAGGTTGCAGTCCAGCCGGTACCGCTCCTATAGACAGAGCTGCTTCAGAGCCCAGCTCAGCCCTTCCCAAGGGAGCAGGGCCGGCCCAGGACAAAGCGAGCCCCAGGTGGGGAAGGCCTAAGCAGTGAAGCACACATACGTTGAGCTCTTCCAGCTTGTTGATGGTGTTCTTGGCATCCAGCAGCTTGTTGGTCAGCTCCACGATCTCCCAGTCCAACGTCTTCCTATCCATCTCAGCCTTCTTGATCTGAGGCACAGACTTGTGGTTAACCCAGCCCAAACCCCAGCCAGCCCTTCCTCTCCCTCCACCTCCTCCCATCCTGAAAACACAGGTGCAAGGGCAGCCAAGGCAGACAGAGCAGAGACAAACGATGGACAGACAGAAGGAGACTGGGCATCTCTCCCGCTCTCTGGACTGGCTGTGGGGTGGGGGCTTTCTTAGCATGACCTCCTGCCACCTGGGCCCAGGACACAGGCAGTATAAGAGCTGTCCATCCCCTGAGGTTCCAGAGGCTCTAGGCACCAGGCAAGGCAGCTGGTACCTCAAAGGCAGTAACTGCAGGGGGCTGAAGCCTCCTACGTGTGCAGCTGTTTGCAGCATCAGGCTAGGAGAGGGAAGACGGAGCAGGGCTTGGTGGCAGCCAGGGGTACCTCATTGAGCAGGGAGCAAGCTGCTGGCTCAAAAGTAGCCTTCTGATCTCCAGCCCAGGGACTGGATCTGCAGCCTCCCCTCCCCACCCACAGCCTGGGCTTGCTGCCACTGCAGCCAAGCAGCTTTGGGTGTTCAGTGGAGACATCAATCAGTACCTCTGCCAGAGCCAAGGGCAGAGCAGGTTAGGCTCCCCAGCTCTCTCCTGGAAGGGAGGCACTGACTACTAAACGGGCCTCACACAAGGAAGAGAAAGGAGTGGGTGTACTCAAGGGGCAGAGGGTAATAGCCAGGGTCCACAATTCTAGATCTCAGCTGAAGAGGAGGCCAGGGCAAGGGAGAAGACACACAAACTCAGACGCAACTGCAAAAATCCAGCTGTGGCTAAGAGAGGCCTGAGAGTGCAGCAGCAACGGTGGCAGCATGAAGGGGAAGACGAGGAAAGAAGAGAAACAGTGTGAGCATTAAGACAGTCTTGACTTGCAGAGCACACTGCGGTCCCCCGACCACTGCCCCATCCCACCATCTCCCCCACCGCCAAGCCCCAGGGCAGAGTGGCATTCCCCTGGCCATTCCTGGCCTCCTGCTATGCTATGAGCATAGTGCCCACCAAGCTGCCCTCCTGGATGGATTACCAGGGTGTGCAGCTTGTCTTCCAACTCCTGGTTGGTCCGCTGGGAAGCCGTGTAGCTGTTCTGCAGCCTGAAAATGGATAATACAAGGCACATCCCTGGGTCAAGATCCTGTCCTTCAGGCCCTGTTCAGTCTCTCTGATAGGGGATCTTGAATGTGTCATTCTCCCTCAAGAATTTCTAATCAGAATCAGATGATCTCTGAGGCATCTTCCAGCTAACCTCCTATGAAGGGGGAGGCTGTGTGTGTGTGTGTGTGTGTGTGTGTGTGTGTGTCCTCTCATTCCCGTGTGTGTGTGTGTGTGTGTGTGTGTGTGTGTGTCTGGCCAGCCTCTCATTCCCACGTGTGTGTGTGTGTGTGTGTGTGTGGCCTCTCATTCCCACACCTGCGGAACTTATCCTTAAACTTGTCCAGCTCTTCGCGGCTCTGGCCCAGCTCCAGCTCCAGGCAGTCCTGCCCGATTTCCAGCTCACGTTCCAGGGCCTCAGTGCGTCTAGTGGCCGAGGCCAGGCGCCGGCGAAGCTCTTCATTTTCCTGCTGCAAGAGCCTGGCAGGGTGTTGAGGGGGTCAAGGGCAGAGGGGTATCAGAGATAGAAGGACCTGCCTTCAAGCTCCAGCCTGGGCTCAGGAAGGAAGGCATGACATGAGGACAGGCAACCAGGGGCAGGGAAACTCCTGGAGTCTCAGCCTGAGTCTAGGGCAGCATATTCTATAGGCCTGCCGGCCCGGGGAACACAGCCTGGGTTGGAGGGTTGGGGTGGGAGAGGGGATGGTAGGGAACAGTCCAGCCTCCCTTCACTATTAGAGAATGAAAAGACAGAATTGAGGGTAGGGATATGGCTCCCAGCCTTTCTCTGGTTACAGCCCATGTCAGCCGGCCACCAGGCCGCCAGCTCCAGTTTCCCCACTGCACAATCAGGCTTCTCCATTATTCATCTCTGGGAAATCCAGCCCAGCACTGCCCTCCTCTCCAGAGGCCTCATGTGGCTAAGAAACGGCTGCAGGGTAGCAGCTGGTACAGGAGCCAGCAGCTGCGGAAGGGATCCTTAGCAAGAAGAGCAGCCCCCTCAGAGCCATTCACCTCCTGATTCTAGGCTCTCTCAAAGCCCATGGAATAATAAAATCCCATTTTCCAGAAAAAATATCCACAACATCAAAACTCCTCCCAGAGTCCCTAAAACGACCCATCCCAACCTTTACTTCTACCTAATCCAAGGAAAAGTACAACTGTACCAACAGTCTAGCCTGGAGGACAGAGATGACGCAGGGCAGTATCTCAGGTAGCAGATACTCACTTCATCCTTTCTGCGTCAGTCAGGGGTTCCCAAAAAAAAAAAAAAAAAAAAAGAGGCTTGAGGCTCAGCTCTGGACCACTAGCCCCCTGGTTGCCTCATCCTCCAAAAAGCCATGAAAAGGCTCAGGTGTGAAGCCCAAAGACTCTCACAGCAGAAGGCGGCTATGGGGCTCTCTACAGATGGAAGCAATTCAGTAATGCTGGGACAAGCCTTGATTACCCTCTTCCATGTCAACCAGAAGATTCCAGAACCTCTTCCAACCTTCACCCTTCATCCTAAAGCCATTTTCAAGTAAGTCCTGGCACCCAAGCTACCTCTCCCCAGGGGCAGAGACAGCCTCTCAGCTGTTCACTCAGCTCCTGGTGGGCCCTGTCTCCTGTTTCCACACAGGCATGGCAGAGACCTTCCAGAAAAGTGAAGTCAGGCTGAACTATACACAAGAGTTCTGAGCTCTGATGAAGCCCTCAGCCTTGGGAGGAAAACAAAGGCAGAATGAGGACCTTGCAGAGGCTCAGGAGGAACAAGTGCATGGGAGAAGAGGGTTAATCCTGACTGAGGGGAGGAAGGGTCTTGTCTGGCTTTTAACCTCCTGCCCCATCTTCCTCAAACCCCTATGGCGGTCATGGCTCAAGCGTCAAGTTCAGCCCACTACAAAGCAGAGCAGGCCCATGCTACGGTGAGAGGGAAACATCAAGGGGCCTATTCTACATGAAGCTGACTGCTTCAGAAGTACAGTCTCAGGCAGAAAATGGAGGTAGGTGGCCTCCTTTTTCCACTGACTTTGACAACTGGATTTGACCTGATTCTACTGCATACTAGTTATACAACCTTCACCTCACTGAGCCTTAGTTCCCTCATTTATAAAACTGAGGTAATGCTCGCTGAGTAGTGCCTAGCATAATAGCTGGCATCTTAATTTAATGTTCCCTGAACTGAAATGAGCAAGTCATGGCTTTTCTACCTTGAATTTGACTAAAGCAGGCTACAGTATGCCTGATGCTCAGCAGTTGCTGTGTCTCACATTCTTTCTTTCTTCTTTCTTTTCTTTCTTTCTTTTTTCTCTCTCTCTCCTCTCTCTCTCTCTTCTCTCTCTCCCTCTCTCTCTCTCAATCTCTCTCTTTTTCTTTTCTTTTCTTTCTTTATTTTTAAGATGGGGTTTCACCATGATGGCCAGGCTGGTCTTGAACTCCTGGCCTCAGGTGATCCACCCACCTCGGCCTCCCAAAGTGCTAGGATTACAGGCGTGAGCCACTGTGCCCGGCGATCTCATGTTCTTTACATGTGCTCCATGCACTGCGACCAGGTGGAGACATGGCTGCAAGGGCAGTAAAGCACTGTGGCCCTTGTTTCCTCCTGTGAGTGAGGTTAATGGGGGAGGACAGCCAATGTTTTGCAGCTGACTATAGGCCTCTGAAGAGCAGGGCCTGGACCTAACAGTTCCTGGCAAGGAGTGCATATTCAACAAATGTCAGCCAAACAAAGCAAAGCTAGAGGAAGAGCCGGACGTCCTGGGGACAATGAAGAGCAGCTGCACTGGTGGGAAGTGATAGTAGCACTGCCTCCTGATATGCCCCAAAGGGACCACAGGTTGAAGGCTCTCCTTCACTATGGAGGACCAGAGTCCCAGCCACCAGCAGGTTAGGACTTCTTAGTCTGCTGGGCTGCCTCTTGTAGGGAGAATACCGTATGAGATCATTTCTGCTAAGCTACAAGACTCAGGGGTTCCCTGACATGTGGACATATACTCACAGACAGTCCCCCATGAGCCTACATTGCCACCACCTGCACTGCTGTGGCTAGGAGACCTCGGGCCTACAACAGCAAGGCCCACTCTCACCCCAACTCGGGACCGGAAGCTCAGGCAAAAGTCAGCCATACACACAGCCTCAGGGGCTTTGCCTCTGCCAGTCAGGCTCGGGTACCAGTCTTGCTGACCTCCTGCTCAAGCCGGGATCCAGGAATTTCTAGTCGCAGCTCCCGATGCTCCGGCGGCGCCTTACGGTAGGGTTTCTTAGTAGGGGCGGCACTGGTCATTCTGGGGTGGGACAGCCCCTCCAGCTGCTGAGGGGGAGCAAGGAGGGAGGCTCAGAGATGTGGCCAGGAGGACTCTGGACTGAGAAAAAAACAAAGATGGTGAAAGGGGGCATAGGTTGAAGCCACCACACAGGCAGATAGACCTGGGCCATTACTGGAGTCACTAGAAGGGCTGGACTTAGGCATGTCAGTCCCCATAGGTCAGAGGAGTGCTGGGGGGAACAGATAGGTGGGAAAGGCAGGGCCTACGGCCAGAGCACCTAGGTTCTAAGAGTGGGGCAGGAAGCCTGAAAAGCAGCCCACCACTCTCCTCATCACTCCTTTGTGGGCTTTGAAGACCTCAGAAGGTAAAACTGCTCTCTCTGCATTAGTTTTCTTAACTCTAACAATAAAATAGCACCAATTTCTTTTTGTTTCTCTTCTTTTTTTTTTCAGAAAGGGTCTTGCTCTGTTGCCCAGGCTGGAGTGCAGTGGCGCAATCTTGGCTCACTGTAGCCTCGATCTCCTGGGCTCAAGCAATCCTCCTGCCTCAGCCTTCTGTGTAGCTTGGACCACAAGCATGTGCTACTGCACCTGGCTATTTTTTGTAGAGACGGGGTCTCACTTTGCTGCCCAGGCTCAAACTCTCAAGCTCAAGCAACTCCTGTCTTGGCCGTCCAAAGTACTGGGATTATAGGTGTGAGCTACTGCACCCAGCTAAGAATAGCACCAACTTCATGGGGTTGTCGTAAAGACGATGTAAAGCACCTAGAACATGCTGAATAAATGTTAACTAAAAATAAAAAATCATAACCAAAAAATATGAGTTTGGGGATCCAATCCAGGATCCTCAGTGGGAGTCTCAAAGCCCAAAAGAGCTCTCTGGCCTTGGCCAGTGACAGCCAAACCCCTGTGGCCTCTACCACTCTTTTCACCAGTCCCCACTGAGAGAGAACACTTGCCTGCCCCATCACCTGCCCCTCCCCAGAAGACAGCCAGGCTGAGGGCACAGGCCTCATCGGGGACATACCGTCTGTTTGTCGGCAGCTCTCTCTGTTCCGCCGTCCGGGAGTTAGCCCTCGGCTCTCCGCATCCCACGGCCCCTCCACTTCCTTTAGCCAACAGCTCCTGAAACCAGAGAAGGGAAGAAAGTGGAAACCAGGTGTCAGCCGCCTGTCTGTCAGTGCCACAGGCCTGCCTGCCCAGTCTGGGACCCAGAAGGCCCCCTGGGAGAACCAGGGCAGGAAGGCCATGAAACAGGGGGCCGGAGGGGAAAGCAGCTGGAGCAGATGACTGGAAGCACTGGGTTCCTGCCTTTCTCCATGGCAGTACTGTCACAGGTCCAGATGAGACAGTGTGTCTGTGTGTATGTTCATGGTCTCAGTACATTGCCCAACTCTGGAATGGGTCTGGTTCCATCCTATCCCTACTCCACATCTGTCCTCCTCATCTCCCAGGCCTCTCAGAGTTTGGAAACTAGTAAGGGATTTGGGGAACATGGGTTACAAATGAGAACATCAGGAAAAAGCCTCACAGAGATCCAAGAAGATGGAGAGAGAAAATGATGGAAAGAGAGCGCCCAGCATCTCCAGAAGGAGGCCCAAGGCTATTTGGTGTACAAGGATGGTCAACAGCCTTTGCAATGAGAAGGCGTAGGGCTAGGAGAAGAAATCTGAAAAGGGAGCAACACAGAGCGGTAGTTTTCAGCCAGGCAATTCTGCCCACCCTCCTTCCCCAGGGATGTCTGGCGCCCACCCTCTTTCCCCAAGGATGTCTGGCAACTGTCTGGAGACATTTTTGGTTGTCCAAACCTGGAGGGAAGAAGTGCTACTGGCATCTAGTGGGTAGAAGCCAGGATGCTGTTGGTCATCCCACAACGCACAGGACAACTCCCACCACAAAGAATTCCCAACAGAAACTGTCCAGAGTGCCAAGGCTAAGAAACACTGGTGAACAAAACCCCAGTCTGGGGAGCTGGAGACACCTGGGCACCAGGATCAGCGCTGACACCACGGGGCCCTGCGTAACACCCTTTCTCACTGGAGAAGCCAGTTCCTTATCTACACAGAGGTGGCTGGACTGCGTGGCCTGTGAGAGCCCCTCCAGGCTCCTGAAGTTTAGGGATGGGCCCACACCCCTCCCCGGCCCCCACCTGTAATAAGCTGGGTTGCAGCACGGGGGCAGCAGCCACCACCATGATCAGGCAGTAACCTCAGGTGGCCTTCTGGGCAGAAAAAACAATCTCTTCCCGCCCCCATCAACCTAAACAGAGCTGGAGACTGAGGGAAGCCTTGCGGGCTAAAACATGTGTTCCTACTGTCGGGACATGCCCTGGCCATGACTCCTGTCACATTCCAACAGGGCCTGGGGCAGGAAGAATGGTGGCAACAAGAGCCAGGGCTGCAGGGCCTGGAGTGAAGCAGCCCTCCCTACAGTAGGATTGCTGGACACACACAATCAATCCCACCATAGGGACGTCTGCTTCACTCCAGGCCCTGCAGTGACTCCTGTCACATTCTAACAGGGCCTGGGGGCAGGGAGGGTAGGGAAGCAGGAGTGGTCTCCCTCCTCTGTCTGGAAAGCCTGTGCCCTGGCTTGGGGTTCTGTGGGGAACTGGGGTGTGGCAGCACAGGCACGAGCCGCCAGCCTCCTCCCCCTGACAGGAGGCAGAACGTGTCCCCACAGGGCACATGCAGCAGGCTGTGTCGGCTGACTCCCTACACAAGAATCCGGGTGGGCGGGCCTGAAAGGACGGCACATTCCCGGGGTGTAGGGAGCAAACAAGTCCCCCCTACAGGTTCCCTGGGGCTGCCCCTCCAGAGGGGCCCAGGGTGGGTGCTCCTATGGCCTGAGGGAGAGGCCCAGAAAAGTCTCAAACCCACCTGGATATGTGGGTTCTGATACTCAGACAGTAAATGTATGGGGCACATCAGTTGGAAAACAGGGTAGGGCGAGAGAGGTGAGCAGTCAAGAGCTTCTACAAAATCAAGGGGTAGCTCCGAGAGTTGGTCTCTGCCTTACCCCTTCTCTACAGAGGGCCGGGTCCCGGCTCCCTTCCCCCACATGCTCCCCAGTCAGCTGAGGAAAGCCCTTTCTCTCTGCAGGCCCCTTTGTGCGCCCCTCCAATTTTCCCAACCGCCTCTCTATTTCCCTGTCCCTATGCCTGCCAAGGCCCATGCTACCTTCTGGGGACTAAGACAACTGCATGAACTGCGGTGGGCAGGGAGGATGCAAACATGCTTGTGTGTCCAGCAATCCTACTGTAGGGAGGGCTGCTTCACTCCAGGCCCTGCAGCCCTGGCTCTCGTTGCCACACATCCTATAGCTCATCCTGCCTCACCCTGACCTCAAGCCCTACTCCCTGGCCCTATAGCACATATTTATCCCCAGGGCTTCCATGACCAGAGGCGATCTGGCTTACTAGGCAAGGAGTACCCTGAGAAGGTGGCTGGCAGTCGGACGGACAGTAGATGCAGACACAGACTCTCTGGGGATGGGGGTGGTGGTGATGGGAGGTTATTCTCTCCATCAGAGCCTACTCTCACACACATCCGAGTTACAGGGACAGGAAACCACTCCCAACTAGGGAAGCAGAGGCAATGGCCACTGGGAAGACAATCTACCAGAGAGCTCATGAAGTTCCTCAACACCAGGCTGTGAGGGAGACCTGGACCACTGCCTGCCCTGTGTCCATAAACACAGGCTGTGCTGGACACCCAGGCCCTAGCTCCAGCTTCTGAAACCTGCTGAGTGCCCCAGATCCGGCCCATGAAGGGCCCACAGTTCCAGCAATGAACTGGAATACAATGGGCCTAGCAGCCCACAGACCTTGACGGGAAGCAAGGAAGGTGTGCAGGGAAGGTCTGGACAGACCCGAGGAAGACAGTGATACAAGGTGCAGTGGACAACAAAGAGAGAAGCAGCAGGACACTCGGCCTGCAAGCTGGGAGAAGGTAAAGCGGTAAGGCAGATGGCATCAGAGAAGTCCCTCCAGGAAGACTCAGCTACCAGGTGTAGCCTCCCCTGGCCCTGGCCACATCTCCTTCACCCAAAGGTTTCCCAAGTTGCCTTGGAGTGTTTCAGCCCAAGGAGGACTCCCAATCCCATGCAGGAAAGGAAAGGTTCTAAAGGAGAGCAGATGGACAATCAGAATGGGCCACAGACCATGATGAGCGACGGACCCAGAGGCTGTCCTTGGCTGCCACTCGCTCATCGTGGTCCGTGGCCCATTCTGAGTCCATGGCCCATGCCGAGCTGGCTCCAGGGTACCACCAATAAAACGGGCTTCTGGGCTGGGCATGGTGGCTCACATCTGTAATCCCAGCACTTCAGGAGGCCAAGGCGGGCAGATCACCTGAGGTCAGGAGTTCAAGGCCTGCCTGGTCAACATGGTGAAACCCTGTCTCTACAAAAATTGAACCCAGGAGGTGGAGATTGCAGTGAGCTGAGATCATGCCACTGCACTCCAGCCTGGGTGACAGAGCGAGACTCCATCTCAAAAAAAAAAAAAAAGAAATCAACAGGGAAGAATCCCACTCCCACCCCACCCCAAACCAAACCTGAGCCTTGAGGAACTGGGGTAGACGACTCGGTATGTGGGACTACCAGATCATGTGCTGTGTCTGTTCTGTAAGAACAGCTATGCCCTGGGAGAATGGCTGAGGCTTATAGGTTAAAACCTCTCGCTGACCTAGCATGGCCTGGGGCTCCTCAGGCTGGACCTGCAGGCAGTGTTTGAGGGAGACACCCAGAGTGGCAGCAGCCCTTTCCCATCCCATGAAGGTGAAGTGAGAAGGGAAAGGGGCTCTCCTCAACCCTCCCTGCCCCTGCCTCATCCTACCCCATCCAATCCCAGTTTCTGACATGCTCTGCATAGCATTCATTCTCCACTTACTCAAAAATCAGTTCAAAGGACAGACTCTACTTCATATCTGCTGGGGTGGAGAGAGGGGTGATAGCTTCCTAATTGCCATGTTGCAATTTGCCAGTCAGTGCAGGCCGCCTGTTGCCGCCTGCCCTGTAATAAATACAGCCCATGGGGCACGAATAGCTGCCTTCAGAGAACAAAGTCTACTTTCATTAGAAATGGGACTCGGCACGCACAGCGGAGCTGCACTGTGAACCCTCTGAACAGCCAAGCAGAGTGTAGACAGATAGGTGTAAGGCGTGATCTGCACCAGAAGCTGGCTAAGCAGTGTCCTTTAACAAAAGGACAAAAAAACGTGCCAAGCACCACTCAGGAGATGGGACTTACACCTGCTCCCTTTTGTGGGTACATGTATTTGATCAGGGGCTTCCACCATGGTGGAAGATTGCTGTTGCTGGAGACGGAGTGGGATGAGAGAGAAACCTCTTCAGAATCCTGATGTTCCCAACACTATCTTACTGTCCCCAGCAAGCACCCACAGAAGCAATAGCAAAAAGGTTCAAGCCCAAGAGCCAAGGATGCCGTCCCACGTTCCTTCTGCCATCCTTTCTGGGGTTCTGCCTAAGACTCAGGCAAAGTCAAAGGTATAGAAGAAGAAAGGAGCTCCAAGCATCCACCCTTCTTCAACCTGAGGCTGAGGCGACCCCTTCAGCACCGGCCCAGGAGACAGGCACAGGAATCCAAAGTGCATATGGTTCTTCGGCTTTTCCAACTTGAGCCTTCCCCACCAAACATCTCCAGCTCTCCAAGTTCTGCACTACTACCTCACTCCACAACTCTCCTGATCCTGGAGCAGCTGCCCTACCCTAGAGGGCAACTACCTCCCTACTCTCCACATCACCAATACCTACTTCAGGTAATTGTGTCCCCACCAGTTTATCTGGGTTCAGATCATTTCTCGAACCTACTAGAAAGCCTTGCTGCTGTCAATGAATCAATGAAGCAAGAGACCTTGAGGAGTCAATGAACCCAACCTTCTGAATCAGGGAGGGCCCACACATCACCATGAAAATCATCCAAGCTCTTCTTCATAATTCAACTAGGCAAAGTCAAACGGAAGTTAGTAATCACTACTTTTCAAATGAGGAACACCCTGGCCTGTTTCAGAATACACCAGCTGTGTTGTATGCCGCCTTAATTCCCTTGGAACCCAGCAGGGTATAAATAAATAATAACAATAAATACAAGCCCTTCCTAAAGCCCTTCATCAACCACTAAAACACAAATGTCTGATCACACAGGGACTGGGGCCTCCCCCTCAGGAACTGTTCCTGAGCTGTAAGCTCTGGATGTGGAGTCTCTGAACTCTGCAAGCCTGTGGCAAGCTGTGCCCCAGTGGGGGTCAGCTACACTCCCGCCACACAAGTCTAGCAGCTTCTCAAGCCTCTGAAATCCAGTCTCTACTTCCAACTGATGTCCAAGGAACACAAAGGGCCACCCTGCAAGGGTCAGCCCTGGAACCAGGTGACCTGGCCTTGGTCCTGGGGATTGCCCGTGAAGATCCCCACCCCCTGCACCATTAATACAGCCCCTCTCCCAGACTGCCTGTGAATAGCAGAGGAGTCCCTCAGCACAGTGAGCTGATCCCACCAAAGCTGGGTTCAGCCTCTCCCACATCATCCCCAGGGCACCCCTCCTGCTTGCCACCAGCCCCCAGTTTCCGGCATGCAGCTGTTCCTGAGATACATGAGCAAAGCCCTCAGCAATCCCGGGCGCGTGGCAGGCAGGCAGCCAACAGCTCACGGGGTGGGGCCCGGGCAGAGGTTCTGCTCTGGGCCGATGATGAGGCTAGAAGATGTCAGTCTGTGCCCAGACCAGCCCTGCTGCCCCTCCAACAGCTATGCGCCACCCCTCTGGGCAAGTACAACCTCACCCTCTTGGGACAAGCTGCCTAAAGCCCTGATCTGGCCTCCTGCCTACTCTAAACCAAACAAATTGACAGGGTTTTGAAAGCCAAAAAGAGTGAGAATTATTCTGCCCCAGAGTAATCCTGAGGACTCAGGGCAAGGGCTTGTAACCTGTGAGAGCTCACCTGGCTCCCACCTGAGCAAACACTTCAAGGCTATCCACCTGGCCTCACATCCAGACAAACACTTCACAGGAACAAGAGGCTAAAGAGCCAGACAAACCAATCCCTCCCCACCCCCCCAAAAAAGAGGGCAAGAAATCCCAAGTTCATAGCCTGCATTTGACATTAGACCCCATGCCCTCTCCTAACAAAGGCCAAAGTGAAGGAACGGCCCTAACAGGCCTCAACTCCAGGCCCTTTTGCTTTCCTGGTCAGAGCCAAGTCAAGAAACCCTCTAGCTTGTTAACTCCCCATTTGGGGTCCCTAAGTATCTCTGCATTACTGCTAGTCCCCATGAATAATATATAGTACTACAAATGTTTATTTGTACATAGTACATTCATATAAAATAATACATTATAAGCTCAATCCACATGCATATAAACAGGTATTCTTTATTAATCAACTATTCACTATTATTATTTTGAGACGGAGTCTCACTGTGTCACCCAGGCTGGAGTGCAGTGGCGCAATCTTGGCTCACTCCAATCTCCGCCTCCCAGGTTCAAGCAATTCTCCTGCCTCAGCCTCCTGAGCAGCTGGGATTATAGCCATGCACCACCATGCCCAGCTAATTTTTGTATTTTTAGTAGAGACAGGGTTTCACCATGTTGGTCAGGCTGGTCTCAAACTTCTGACCTCATGATCTGCCCGCTTCGGCCTCCAAAGTGCTGGGATTACAGGCATGAGCCATTGTACCTGGCCACATTCACTATTATTAATCATATAATAAAATTCATTTCCACATAGATATTGATCGATACTATACATCCTTAATATTACATAGTACATATATTCATTTATCAAACATAGCACATTTTCGTCAAGATATTTCGTGTTGGGCCAGGCACAGTGGTTCACGCCTATAATCCCAGCACTTTCGGAGGCCAAGGCGGGCGGATCACCTGAGGTCGGGAGTTCAAGGCCAGCCTGACCAACATGGAGAAACCCTGTCTCTACTAAAAATACAAAATTAGCCAGGTGTAGTGGCACATGCCTGTAGTCTCAGCTACTTGGGAGGCTGAGGCAGGAGAATCACTTGAACCCGGAAGGCAGAGGTTGCAGTGAGCTGAGATCGTGCCACTGTACTCCAGCCTGGGCAACGAAAGCAAAGCTGTCTAAAAAAAAAAAAAAAAAAAAAAAAAAAGATATTTCTCGTCAATATGGATATCCCCTACCAACTTTGGTCTCTTAATCTACCAACCTCCAAGAAACCATCATCCCGCTTGGGAGTGCTACCTTCCTCACTCCGGACCCATAACACACCCTCTCCCATTTACAAGCTCCCACCCCATGCTGGTAGGCTCCTGTCTCCTGCCTAGCTCAAGGGCAACAGAATCCACTAAGACAGCCTTCAGGTCTCTAGCTCCCCTGTCCAGCCTCCCCAGCACTGCACTGCCTCCAGGGGTCGGAACTACAGTCTGTCTAGGGTGACTTGTGTGGAACACAAGGAAACAACAGGCAATGGACTTTCTCATGATCCCCAGACCCGCCTCTCCTTCCCAAGCCTGGAGGGAGAAGGGATTGTGTGGGAGATACCAGGCTGCACTCACCCATCAATCAATCCGAAGCCAGGATCTTTTCTAAGCCCAATGTGGAATCGAAAGCCAGGTCCTGCCCTGACTCTACTGAGGCGCCCTTCCCAGTTTTCATGGCTAAAGTCCACCTGAAGCTCCAGACGTGGAAGGAGGTGAAGGGGCCAAACTCCATCTCCCAGAGCAACGGTCGTCAATGGGAGTGACATCTCACATAGGTCCCTGGTTCAGGGTCCCAGCATTCAGTTTAAAAGTAGCTTCACTCTTCTGCCCAGGGAATTCCCCAGAACCAGGCCAAGGTTTTCCTCTACCTCCCCAGTCCTAAAGAGAATCCTGCAGCTGATCCTAACTTTTTATCCTAGAGCGGAAATGATCTGGTCTAGAAGAAAATTCCCTTCCCACTCTAGTTCATTTGTCTCTGAGGCGTGAAAAGCAGCAGCAGCATGGTAACTGAGGGATCTTCTCAAACTCTGGTGCTAAAAGCACAGATTCAACAGAAACTCCAACCACCTCTATTTGAAGAGAGAAGTGAAGAGCGTGCTGCTGACTTGGGGGAGGCTGACAGTGAGGGGGAGGGCATGGAGCCCAGCAGTAGGATGGTGATGGGCAGGTGGCTATGGAGCAATCTCCATTTCATGGCCGTGAAGGGGGCACATCCCCACCCACAGCAAGGGGAGACTGGGAAAATAGAGGGACCTGGTAGTAAGAACAAGACAGCAGAGGAGATAGCGTGGTATAAGCTAAGGAGGGAGGCCGCCAGGCTGCGGGGAGGGATGGAGGACAGAGGCCCTGCTGGTGGCACCCAGGGCAGGTTAGCTGGCCGAGGTCAGACTCACAGGGTTAGTGTCTTCTCCCCAACCAGCCAGCTCTCCTGGTTAGTGCAGTTAGCGACAGACTCATGGCAGACGCCCTTCAGGCACTCCATATAAACAGACAGCTTGGTTTGTGAGCAGCCCAACTCCGGAGCTGCAGAGAGAAAGCAGAGGAATGCCAAGCTGCAGGATGCCCAAGGGGACACACTGCACTCTCCTGACGGGAAGCACTGCAGACTTACCACCAGACCCTCAGGGGCTTTCTTCCATCCAGAAATCATGCCAGGCGGAAGCCAGGCACTCCCCCTGCCAACCAGTGAGGCCAGCTTGCTGACCTCAGGCAGCAAGACTCTCTGGTTGGTCAACAGGGAGAACGGCTGTTGGAGAAGGGGCTTAGCTCCTCTATCTCGCCTGTTACCCAAACACTGCTGCCAGGCTGCACCAGGGCTCTGAAAGCTAGGCTGTAAGAACAAAGCCACCCACAGCTGCAGCTGCCACCCATCCCACACTGGTGCCAGCAGAGTCCATCCCACCACCTCCCACAGGCTCCGAGGAGCTGGGAGAGAAGCAGCCCAGGGATCAGAGGCTATGACAAGGGCTGCGTCAGAAAGCACAGTACAATGGGGCAGTGTGTGCCTGGCCTAAAGCTGGGCCGGTCAACAGTACAGGCCACATACTACCACCTTACAGTTTCTCAAAGGGCCAGGTGATGGCACTTCCCAGGGAGCCAGCCCCAGAGAAGCACGACTCCCCAGACTCAGAAATCAGGAATCCTGATCCCTACTCAAGGACACTCCTGCCAATTTCATCTCAGAATCAAAAACTGTCCCTCAGAGACAGCCAGGGTGCCTGCTGTGGCAAGACCATCTAGCAAAGCTTCTCCATCCCTCCCAGGGGGCCAGCCCCAGAATAACTCATTCAGCTGGAAAGGAGGCTGTAACCAGGCTCCTGAGCAGCTCCAACAGGGACTGTTCCACTCCTGGGTCACTTGTTAAGTGAACAGAGAAAGCTGAAGAAGAGTATACATTAGTATTGAGTTGTGGTGAGGAATGTCTAGACATAAAAATACTATTAGAGGCCAGGCATGGTGGTTCACACCTGTAATCCCAGCACTTTGGAAGGCCGAGGTGGGAGGATCACCTGAGGTCAAGAGTTCAAAATCAGCCCAGGGTTTGGCCAACATGGCAAAACCTTGTGTCTACTAAAAATACAAAAACTTAGCTGGTCATGGTGGTGGGCGCCTGTAATCTCAGCTACTGAGGAGGCTGAGGCAGGAGAATTGCTTAAACCCAGGAGGCAGAGGTTGCAGTGAGCTGAGATCACACCATTGCACTGCAGCCTGGGCAACAAGAGCAAAACTGTCTCCAAAAAAATAAAAAATAAAAACTATTAGAAGAAAGGTACATGATAAATGGTGAACAGTTGTTCCCTATCTTTGGGGAAACAAGTCAGGCAGGAACAATGGGAAAAGAACGGGAGGATCTTTTTATTTGTACACTTTTCTGTATGGTTAGTATTTTATACAAGGGACATATGTTTATGGTGAAACCAACAGTTCCTAGGCAAGCAGATGAAAACCCTGCATCTACACTGTGCTTTACCATTCCAGAAGCACTTTCCCTTCCATGATATTTCCTCTGATGCTTATGGTCCAGTGAGGCACAAGAATAGGGAGCTCTCCCATTGTGAGGGTCAGAAAGGGCAAGTGATTTGCCTAAGACCACAGGCAGAACTGGGACAGAACCCAGTGTCTCCAATGCCAGTACAAGGCGTGGAAACCTCTCTTTTCCAGGAAGCCACAGGAAAGCCAGGACAATTCTGCCCTGATATGAAGACCCTTAAAGACTTCTGAGCTTCGGTTCCCTACTTGGGCTACCTGTGAACGTACAAAGAGGCCACCTACCACTTGGTACCCAAAATGATAAGCAGAGTTTTATCCTATTGGTTAGCTGAGTAGAAGTGCAGGGTTTTGGGGTCTAGGATGGCTTCTCAGTAGGCGGATCCTCCCCTCAGGGGATGGGTACCGAGTTCCCTACCACAGCACAGAAGCTTCTCACAAAGAAGGGCCATGCCCTTTATAAATTCTAAACGTCACCTAGCACACAGTTGGCACTTACAAGATAGTAACTAACAAAGAAGAGGTCCCACCCTTCTACTCAGGGCCAGTCAAGGAGACTTAGTTCCCTTGAAGCCTAAGATATCCAACGCAATCCAGTCTGGCTGGTTCACTCAACCCCCTCTCAAATCTGCTTAACATACAATACAGTTTATTATGCCAGCCAAGTTCCATCTGCAAAGACAAGCCACAATGCAATGTACACTCTCACACCCAGGGACAAGGAAGAGAACCCAGGGAAAACTCCTTCAGTCCATTTTTAGCTATTGGTTTCATCCTTTTGATTCATCTGGGCATTAACGAGGTTGTAGTAAGCTCTGGCTGTGAGCACTGAGCACGCCTTGATGGGACTCGAGATAGGACCAGAAAAGCAAGCAGGTTGCAGCGGGCACTGGAAAGGGCAGCCTAAAGAATTACAAAGAAGCAGCCACCAGCCAAATACCTTTTAGGCTAATTAGGCAAAAAAAAGCTACTGGAAAGCTACTGGTGTATACCTCACCTCCTCCTTTAACCCCCTCCTGCTTGCTCAGGGATGTGTTATTAGAACATAAAAAGGCTGGCTGGACATGGTGGCTCACAACTGTAATCCCAGCGTTTTGGGAGGCTGAGGTAGGCAGATCGCCTGAGGTCAGGAGTTCGAAACTAGCCTGGCCAAAATGGCAAAACCTCGTCTCTAATAAAAATACAAAAGTTAGCTGGATGTGGTGGCATACGTTATTAGTTATAACTAATAACACGTTATAACTAATAACATGTTATTAATTAATAACATGTTATTAGTTATTATAACTAATAACAAAAGTTAGCTGTAGTCCTAGTTACTTGGGAGGCTGAGGCACAAGAATCACTTGAATCCAGAAGGTGGAGGTTGCAGTGGGCCAAAATTGGCTCACTGCACTCCAGCCTGGATGACAGAGACTCTGTCTCAA